GGAACTGGAGAGCATTATGCTAAGTGAAATTAAACAGTTGGAGAAAGATAAATATCACACGGTCTCACTCACAAGTGGGGTATAATGATCAACATAATTTGATGAACAAGAATAATCAATCTAAAGACAAATGGTAGGGGAGGGCGGTTAGAGAGCAACTAAAGGACTTATGTGCATGCATATTAGCATAACCAATGAACACAGACACTGGGGCGGTTGGGGCATGGGTGTGGGGGAAGGTCAATTGAGGAAAAAAGGAGACATATGTAAAACTTCAGACAATAAAAAAAATAGAGGAGAGGTAGAAGAAATGAGGGCAAACTATGAGAACTCAGCCTACTCAGAAGAAAGGACCAAGAAGCAGGCTAAAGACTCCTTTCCAGTTAGGCAGCTAGGAGTTGCATTTCGCAGCTCTATTCTTGGAGGGTGATAACGTCCAGGAGTGGGAAGGATAGGCACTGTTCTATTTTTAATTTCCTTCCTTAAAGGGTAGAAATTGGTTAGCCAAGAAAATAAGTAAAATGTTTTCCTCTTTGTTGCTGTTTACACAATTCCAATTTACTTAACAATATGAAAAGACTGAAGACATCCTGTTTGGATAATTTAATACAGCCAAGGGCAAAGAACATGCCTATCCTCATAGGAAGCAATCTATAATAATAAAAACTTAACATACTAATAAGACTGGACAGCCCAACGATCTTCTGGACATCCTTCCGGATGATCTTCTGGAAGAAGCAAGGGCTGTGAGGGCCAAGGCAGCCACTGCAGCTGCAAGGGCCAAGCCCCTTGCATGTATTTTGTGCATCGGGCCTCTAATCCTGTCTAATAATAGACAAAGAGGGTAATTGACCGTACCTTCGCTACGACTCCCATTGGCTAATCAGCACAGTATGCAAATTAACCGCCAACAAAGATGGCAGTTAATTTGCATGCGGCCCAAAGCTGTGGAGCAAAGACTGAAGGTGGCTTCGGCCGGAGCAGCGAAGGCTTTGAAGGCAGCTCCGGCCAGAGCCAAGGCCTGGGTCCCGGGTGCTGGAGGAAAACCGGTGCTGGCAGCCAGGGGAAGGGAAGGCCTATTGCATGAATCTTTTCATGCAACAGGCCTCTAGTCTACTATAATAGGACTATATTCTGTTTTGGAATACTGCTTATCAAGAAATGATACTTAAGTGTATCTGAAATTCCAACTTACCAGGAAAACTTTTGAATAAAAACTTACATAATCTAACTAAAGTATTCTCTCCTAGAAGATAATCCACTAGTTTTTAGACCCAGTTCTGTTACTAATGACCTATTTATCTTTTATTCTGAAGATTTTAATCTGTAAAACAGAATATTAAATGAGTTTAGCTTAAATCCCCCTTTGAGCTACTGTTTTAAATATTTAAAATTCAAAAACATTGATAAAAAAATGTTTATAGCCCATATCATTTCAGATTATTACATTTAGCAAATGAAATCTAGTTTTTCCTTCAAAATCAATGAAATGTCAAAGTGATAAAGTTTGTGTGTATGTGTGTTGAGGGAGTGGGACAGAAGTTATTAGAATCTTTTATAATAATTATTCATGGTTTCACCTAACACTACTCTAAGAGTAGGTCCTAAAAACACTCATAATACGTTCTAAGTTATATATCCTACTAATAACTTTTAAGTAATTCTTAAAATGTTTTTTTTAAACTAATACACAATACCATTTACATTAGTACCTAAGAAACAAAATACTTAGTTAAAAATTAAACAAATATGCACAAAATTTGTAAGGAAAACTACACAGCTCAGGTGAATTTAATCAACTAAATAAAAGGAGAGATATTTCCAGAATAGAAAGACACAGTATTATCAAAATGTTTGTTGTTCCCAACTTGATCTCTAGATTTAATGCAATCTCGATCAAAATCCCAGCAGGTCATTTTATAGATATTGACAAACTGATTCTAAAGTTTATATGGAGAAGCAAAAGATCCAGAATAGCCAAAATAAAATTGAAGAATAGCAAAGTTGGAGGATTAATCTATCTATCTTCAAGTTTTACTATAAAGCTAAAGTAATGAGGACACTGTTGTATTGTGAAAGAATAAATAGATCACTGGAACAGAATACAGAGCCCTGACCTAGACCCACATAAATATAGTCAATTGATCTTAAACAAAGGAACAAAGGCAATACAATGGAGCAAAGGTAGTCTCTTCAACAGATGATGCTAGAACTGGACATCCACATGAAAAATAATGAATCTAGACACAGACCTTATAACTTTCATGAATAGTAACTCAAAATGGACCACATACCTAAACATAAAATGCAAAATTATAAAACTTCTAGAGTATAAGATAGACTAATACTTAGATGACTTGGGTATGGTGATACCATTTTGGACAAAACACCAAAAACATGGTTCATGAAAGAAATAAAATTTCATTAAAATTAAAAACCTCTTCTCTGTAAAAGACAATATCAAAAAAATTAAAAGACAAGACACAGACTGGGAGAAAACATTTATAAAAGACATCTGATAAATGACTATTATCTACAATATACAAAGAACTCTTAAAACTCAACAATAAGAAAACAAGCAACTTGAGTGAAAAAATGGGCCAAAAATCTTAATGGACAGACACCTCACCAAAGAAGATATACAGATGGCAAGAAAGATTATAAAAAGATGCTCCACATCATATGACATCAGGGAAATGCAAATTGAAACAACGAGATGCTACTGTACACCTATTAGCAGGGCCAAAATCTGGAACCCTGACCACAAATACTGGTGAAGATGAGCAACAGGAATTTTCATAAATTCCTGGTGGGAATAAGAAATGGTACAGCCATTTTGGAAGACAGTTTGGCTGTATCTTATAAAACTAGACCATACTCTTATCATATGTTCCAGCAATAGTGCTCCTTGGTATTTTTACCCGAAGTAGTTGCAAACATGTCCACACAAAAAAACCTGCACACAGATCGTTTATAGCAGCTTTATTCATAACTGACAAAACTTGGAAACAACCAAGATGTCCTTCAGTATGTGAATAGATAAATAAACTGTGGTACATCAGACAAGGGAATATTATTTCGCACTAATGAGCTATCAAACGATGAAAAGACATGGAGGAACCGTAAATATATAGTACTAAGGTAAAGCCATTCTGAGAAGACTACATGTATGATCCCAACTAGGTGATACTCTGAAAAGGCAAAACTATGAAGACAGTAAAAAGATCAGTGCTTTCCAGAGGTGGGGATCAGAGAGAGATGAGTTAGAGCTCAGAAGATTTGTAGGGCAGTGAAAATACTCTGTATGATACTACAATGATAGATATGTAATTACATGTTTGTTTAACCCATAGAATATATAACACCGAGAGTGAACTGTCAACTTTGGGTGATTATAATGAATCAGTGGAGATTCATCCTTGATAAAAAATGTACCATTCTGGTGAGTGATATTGATATATGTGTGGGAGCAGGGGGTATATGGAAAATGTCTGTGCCTCCCTTTCAGTCTTGCTGTTAATTAAAACTGCTCTAAAAAACTGTCTTAAATTAAAAAACAAACAAGCTAACACTCCAAATTTAATTTAAAACATGATTGTTTCATTATAACACATACCTTAAACATTTACAATATCAATTACTAGTACCTGATCATTTCTTTTTTAATCTTTAGGCATCATTGCTTCTTGCTTAACATTTTCACATAACTTTTAAAAAATATATAAAGTCCAAACTCTGCTAACCAATTTTTCTGTTCCCCGTCTTACTTTAATTTCTATATTAGGAACACTTACCAGATACAATACATATCCCCATTCTGGAGCTGTGAAATAAGAAAAGATTCACAGAGTTGCAAGGCTAACATAGTCTTGCCTTCTTTTTCAGTGTTACAGATGATATCAATTCCACTCTTACAATCAGTTTTCAATAAATGCTATAAGAGGAAAAGAAAAATTAGTTCATGTCATTAAAAATATCTAAAAGCTAGTTACAATAAGTGTTTAAACTTTCAGAAGAAATTAGATGTTTAGTTTTCTTCTACAAAGACGATGAATTGTACAGAAAATTTTTCATAGCTTCATATTTTTACTATATAGCACCTATAGTTTACAGTTACTTTTAATCTCATTAATGTTTATAACTTATAGGTAGGTAGGATCCATATTAGGAAAAGATTCTTTCATCTTGAAAAAAAACCCATGAAAATTCTAATTTTTAAATATTTTATTTAAAAGGCAAAATCATAATGGTTCTCAGTTTTTATTTGACCTCTGTCACACCCGAAACTCAACATAAATAATGCTTATCGCTGTCCTGGCTATGTGGCTGAGTTGGTTGACGTATACACCAAAAGGTGGTGGGTTCAATTCCTGGTCAGGGAACATACCTAGGTTGTAGTTTCGATCCCTGGTTGGAAGGCAACTGACCCATATTTTTCACTCACATCAGTGTTTCTTTCTCTCCCCCTTACTTTCTTCTAAAAATCAATAAATATATCCCTGGGTGAGGATTAAAATGAATAAAATGAAGCTTATTAATGTTTTGTTAATTTCATCATTTGTTAATATCAGATTTTTCAGTAGTCGGCAAACTGTGGCTCACGAGCCACATGTAGCTCTTTGGCCCCTTGTGTGTGGCTCTTCCACAAAATACCGACTTCTGGGCATGGTCCATGAAGTTTCAGTTGCACTGTACATGTGCACTCACACGTGGTATTTTGTGGAAGAGCCACACTCAAGGGGCCAAAGAGCCGCATGTGGCTCGGGAGCCACAGTTTGCCAACCACTGGTCTAATTTAACATGAGCTTAAAGAATGGTGTTAAAGAAAACACATCTAAATAATTTAATCTGAAAACCTTTGGTATTACTATAAAAAGGAATTTAACAAGATTCGGCTATATTTTTTCCTGTTTTTTATTATAAGGTTAAAATGATGATAGACAAACAAACAAAATCTTAAACAATACCTCCCGGAATAGCTGTTCTTCTACAGGTGACATAAATAGACATGTGAAGAGTGCTTGATGGAAATACAAATCTTTGCTGATTTCTGGGTGATTTATACAAGATTTAATAAGAGCCATTGCTTCGGGTATGCGTTCACAAGCAATTAGGTATCTGGCACGTAGTTCAAAGAACAGTGGATTTTCCGAACTTAAGTATTTGTTCACTGTATTAAATAGAGAACAGACTCGTATTACTTTCAAGAAAGGATTCTCTCAAACTCTTGATTGTTGCTTGAAACATTATCACTAACGTGTGGCATTTAATTAGATTAACTAGTTATTTAATTAAATAGCATTTTCTTAGTAAGAGTTTATTTGTGAAAAAAGATATACAATTATATGATTGGAAAAATGGAAATAAAAGTGATAACAAAACAGTGCTCAAGAAATACCTGTTGATTTCTTCTCAGTCTAAAAAGTCAAAAACCTGAAATATTTATTTTTCAGTTCACTAATATGTTAAAATGTTTCAAATAACATGGGGTATGTAATTTCTAGTCTAAGATTATGTACTCTGATCTTAGTGCTCAATATTTTCATTACTGATTAATTATAGAGAAATAAATCTGAATGAAAAAGTTAAATCATGAAATATATTTTATTACTTGTGAACATAAGATTAAGCCAAAAGGAATGCTTATTAATATGTGCTCATGTATCACTAAGAATAATTACTAACAAATACTTGGTTTTACACAATTAAAAAGTATGCAAACACCTTTATCTACTAAGTTTATTTAGACCTAAAAACATCCTTATGATAGTTATCATAGTATTTGTTTTACAGATCACAAAACTGAGTCTCAGAGAGGTCAAATGACTTGCCCAAAGACAAAAGTTAAGTGGCAAAGCAGGAACTAGAACACATAGATCCTATTGGACCCCAAGTATTTTCATTAGTTATGTGTTTAATCATTAGCTTCTAAAATACTTATGAGTGATGTTTTATTTGGGTGCCAACATTTGCCTTGCAGTTCTGTTTCCAACATATAATCAATAGACACTCATCTGTTCACTTAATACAAAGATAAACCTCACACTAGTTTTTACCCTAATGATCACCAACCAGAGAAGAGTCATTCATATTAATGAGGCTCTAGAGCAGCTTTTCCCAGAGTGAGTTATGTCACTGTAAGTATTAAAGGACTATGTGTGAAGAACTATATATACATATATTAAGGCCATCAGACTTCAAAGCAACTCATGTTTGTTCTTGCTCCTACTCAGAGAAGCCTAAAAGCTCTCCTAAAAGCCCTAACTTTTCACTCCTTTGGAAGCTCTGTCTTGTCTATCTCCTACCCGGCTCTTGCCTCATTCCCTAGTCTCCTCAGTTTCCTTCAGCTTGTCACCTTTGCCTTATCTGTATTTGACTCTACCTTTCCTCAGCCATCCAACTCTTCCTCCTCAGTTCCAGCTGCTTTCGTTCTTTTATTCCTTTTCCAGACCCTCATATCAAGTTTGTCTCATTTGTATCCCTTGGGTATATAACACTGTCACATATATATTTCAGCCCTTTCCTCCTATTTTGTCTTATCTCCCATCTCATCCCACTGCTTTGCACTACTTCTTCTGGCCTTACTTTCATCTTCTCTCACATCTCTGTCACTGGCCTCCACACTTGTATCTGGGTTGGCTTGCTCTTAAGCCCAAGAATCACAGCTCCTTCTCCACTCAACTCTACCCACAACCCACCCCTACCCTCACCCCTTAACCTGGGACAAATGGACAGATCCTAACCCACAGAGCACAATCTGTGGTATGAAGTGTCTTTCTCACCAGACCAAGGTCTGAATTGTTCCAGAGCTAGGAGTTCTTGTCTTTTCCTTTTGGCAATCTTAAAATTGTACTCCTTAAGCCCTCTCCATACATTCAAATGTTTTTCACAGTTTTGTGTTTATTCACTACTGCTCAGCTCTACATTCTAAGCTTTGGTGATCAGCTGTGGCTTAGGAATATGTGAGAAGCAGTTGACAGAGCCTCCTTCCTCAAAAGAAAATTCTGGCCCACAGGAACCACGGTACATCTAGGTTTAAGAGGAGGTGATGTCAAAGAAGTATGCAGGCGGTAAAGGGATAATAACTTCTATTAATGGATAAAGTGTGGGAAATACTGCTCTACAGTATTCGGAATTGAAATTTAGTCACTCATTCACTTATACAGTCATCATGTGGTCATTCATTCAATCAGCATATATTAAGCACCTACTCTCTACCAGGCACTGGGCTAGGTGTGGGATATACAGTAATAGTGATAAAAATTGGATGAGTTATAGCTCTCACAGCTGCTTCTGTATAAGGGAGATCTCAAGTGCTTAAGCAGGATGTTTTGTTTTAAAAGGGTTTGGCAACTTAAATAGATATTTAAACTATAACTGCAGTGACAAAAGCAAATGAACTCTCTGGAAGTAACATCTGGACAGTAAATATATTAATTCCCATTAGAATGGGAAATTACTAGAAATAAATGTATCCAAGTCTAGTGTCAAAAATCACTCTTAGGGCATGTTAGTACAACAAATTAAACACATTTCATATAAAAATACATAATTCTTACTCAATATTATAAAATAAAGAAAAATCACTAATACTGCTCTAGTGAGATAATGAAATTGTGTTTGCTTCTCACAAATGTTGGTTTTGATTTTGAGTTTCCTGAAGTACCTATCTCTTGAGATGCTGGCTGGGCTTTAAGAACAGCTTGCAACACTGGATCTTCCCATGGGCCACCATCTCTAATGATTCGAGTCACCAGTTCCAGATTCACATTTCCATATCTGCGGAGGTGATTCTGGCATTCCTAGGAGAGAAAAATCATTTTTCGCTTTATGAATTTAAAGGGGTTAAAAATTAAACTTGATCATTATTGTGAATAAAATGACTGATGGCCAATGAGGCAGTTATTATATTATAAAAGAGAAAGGGTTGTTAAGTAACCTATGTAGGGTGTCAAAACCCATTAATATACAAGTTAACTTTAATGGCAAAGGTTACACAGTTTGTACATAACTGGACTTAGGAAATCCCATTATAATGGGGATGAAGTGTAACCTAAGGAAAAAACTTAAAGAGTGAATTATTTCTAGGAAGAAAATCGCATTGCTAAAATGTAAGAAAAAAACTTAATGGATGCATCATTTCTAGGAAAACCACCAGGTTGCAAAAACCAAATGGAAACACAGGATGCATCATTTCTAGGAAAAGAACCAGGTTGCAAAAATGTAAAACTTAAATGCTTACTTAAATTTACGTGAGGGCTCACAAGGTTTCTGTTAACAAGGGCAAGCAAAAGCCTGACAATAAGAAGGGTAGAAGGGTCCAATGCAGACTCTGGTTGACAAGTACACATAGGTGCCCTGCCCAATCCCAAATGTATTATCCTAGTTGTGGTACAGGTTGAAAGATGAAAATTCTATTCTACTTTGTTGTGCAAGTACATTTGTAGTCTTGGGACGAAAAATGGCAGGCTTAAGGAATGAATTGGACCTATAATGCCAGTATGAAGACTTTGCATTTGGTTTAAGATAAAAATGTATTGGTAAGTTGGGCATTAGTTGATAATTTGTTTATGCATATTCTGTTGTTGTTTTTTAAGATATTTGAAATGTTTTTAGAGAATCTATTATCTCATATTTGTGATTATAATATGAATTATGTAACAAGTTAAGTTAGTAAGCAATGTTTAATGTTTAGGAGAACTTGGTTTACTGAATTTATAAATTTGATTTATTAGATTTAGATTTACAATATTTAATTGTTTGATTATGCTTTTCGTTTTGATTATGCTTTCTGATTTATTTTACTTTGTCCATTGTTGTGTTTTAAAATGTTTCAGGGTATTTAATTTGGTAATTTAAAGAGATTAACTGAAGCTTCGTGGAGTTAATAAGACACTGGCGGGTAGGGGAGGCCAGGGGAAGATAAAGGGGGGAAAAAAAGGAGACATATGTAATACTCTTTGTAATACTTTAAGCAATAAAACAAAATAAAAAAAAAATAATGAGGTAGATTGTATTTCTGACTTGAGAAATGTCCACGGTGAGAAAAGCAAGTTGCAGAAATATGTGTTCCCAATTATCCCACTTTTGTAAAATAAAATCTACGTATCTGTAAAAAAAATAAATAAAAATAAATTTATTTTTTAAATGCATAAATTGAGCTTAAGAAAAAACTAGATGTTAAAACTGGCAATGTTAAAAATTTTAATAAATTGTGCATCAATTAAAACAAACAATTGCCAGAATTTCTTTCCATGCTCCAAAAAAAAAAAAATCCCCAGACATTAAAAAATTAGTAACAGTTATAAAACAAAGCTTCAGGATAAAACAATATCCAGGGGTGGGCAATAGTAGCTTTACAGTTGTTGAGTATGTGAAACACAGATTTTATTGTTGTTTTATTAATTATTGTGTTACTTATTTGTATTACAACTGTAAATCTACTTTTGCCCACCCCTGTATGTATAGTCATAGATATTAATTCCCAGATAAATCACTAAGCTACATACTCAAAGTGACAATAAACTTTGCTTTTATTAAATTGTCATATTTTTTCATCATTTGAATGTTCCAAAGTGAGATCTATATGTTACTTCATATTCCTTGTTAAAATATATAAGAGGTTTTGTTTTATAAGAGAATGAGGCAATAGAAGAAATCAGATTTCAAGATAAAGAATCATTCAGTCAAAAAAGTCGAAGAAAATAAGTTCACCTAAAAGTCATTTAGGACATTCCCAAATTAAAATGAGCAAACAAGCAAACAAACAAAATCCCTATAAACAATGGGCAAGTTACTTTTCCTTAACCTGTCTGTGCTACTTCAGTGAACTCCTCTGCAAAAAGAATAGTAAAAACACCTCCTTCGTAGGATTGTTGTGAGGATTAAATAATAAACTGTATTGAAAAGTGCTTGGTATAGTACCTGGTATATGGCAAACACCTAATAAATGCTAGCTATTATTTCTTCTATATTTTTTAACATTTTGAATAAATATTTTATTTTAGGACACCCAATTGCCTCAACATAAAATTTATTTCTAGATTTCCATGTGACAGCATGTTAGAGCATTAAAAAAAATACATGCTTTTTTTAATACATGGAAGATAGTAATGACCTGTGGCAGCAGCTTCATGGTTGAAAACAGTCATCAATTTCAAACATCAAGGTAAACAAAATCCTAAATTACACTAGACACAATATTGGTGCCTCTAAAATTCAAGCTGGCTTTTGGTCCAATCAAAGCACAAGAAATAAGGTGAGCTGTAGCTTAGCTGCTAAGCCCTTGGACAACCCATCTTTCTAGCTGTATTAGGGTAAGTGAGGCACCAATCATACAGCCATTAATATTTGAACTGCACTTAGGCCAAAGTCAAGATATGGGAAAGCAGGTCTTCCTAAACTTGGCTGAAAATAAGAAACACTTGGAGGTCTTGTTAAGTAACAGATTCCCAGGCCCCAGTTGAAACCTACTGAGTCGAAATTTCTAGGGGAAAGCCCTGATGATCTATCTGTAAATCTAACAACCTTTATCCCACAGTCAATTTTGGCACATTTTTTTTATTGCACCTCATACAATTAGTGTCTACTTTCACAAATATCCATACTATAAGTTATATACCTACATTCCATCAACTCTTCTATTAAAAATTAGCAAATTAGCTTATGTTCATTTTCCTAAGATAAAAATTATAAATACAAGTTTTTTTGTGTGTGTGCACTTCTTGAATCAAGTACACTGTATTTTGGAGACCACTTCTATGAGAAATAGCTCAGGATAGGCAATAACGATTAAATAAACATTCTGTTCTATTAAAGACACAGGCCTGGCGCTAGCCTGTTTGGCTCAGTGGATAGAGCGTTGGCCCACAGACTGAAGGGCCCCCGAGTTCGATCCAGCCAAGGGCATGTACCTCGGTTGCAGGCTCCTGACCATGGTGCGGGGGAGGGGAGTGCATGCTGGAGGCAATCAATTGATGTGTCTCTCTCACATCAGGGTTTCTCTGTCTCTCCTTCTTCATTCCACTCTCTCTCTTAAAAAAAAAAAAATCAATGGAAAAAATATCCTCAGGTGAGGATTAAAAAGACACAGGCATGGTAGGCCTGGAAAGAGAGGGGTGGGGAACAAGTGGGGTGGAAAGGGTCAGTGGGGAGGGGGGGGGTATCTATAATACTTTCAAACAATAAAGATAAATTTAAAAATATAAAATGAATCATTCTTGCATAATATCTAAATAAGTAAGTAAGACACAGGATGAAAAAAAACGAGTAAGTTTGTAAGTATGTTTGGGCTCCTGCTTCCTTAAATACTATGGTGGCTTTTCTAGATGGTATTCAGTCTACTAGTAAAAGCCTTTAAAGTGAAAAAGGAAGCACCAAAATCACTACAGAATTCACAACTTATCTTTCTTAAAATATATGTACATATTGTGGTGTGTGTTTTAGAACGTTTACTTAATTAAAGATTTAGACCTGCATATTAACCTAATCCTTTACTAAGTCATCTGTCTATTGTCATTAATACCACTGCACTGTCCTAAATACAGAGGTGGGCAAACGTAGATTAACAGTTGTTCATGTAGAAAAAGACAATAAATAAGACAAGAATAAACTATTTCATGAACTCAAAACTGTAGACCCACTTTTGTCCACCCCATATAATTCCCTCAAAAACTTTTATTCAACCTTATGTCACAGCAAAATTAGAGAGAAAACACAACTCCTTCCCTCACTCTTCTTTTGGAATTTATGTGGCGTGGGCTTAATGTTTTATTTTAGAAGATTTTTCTTCCATGAACTCGTTCCCACTTTGCTGAACTCAGTGTGCTGGCTATTCTGCATACTTGATCTGAACCCTTCGCCAACTTATCACAGGATGGAAGTCGTAACGCCACAACTTCATGACCTCTGGACTTACCCACCTACTCATTCATTTATTACACATCATGAAATACTTCTTTGTCTAATCTGGTGTATTCCATGTCTCTCAAACTCATCTTGTACTTTCTTGCCTATGCTTTTTCTCATAGCACGCTCTTTCTCCTACAACTTCGTATGAACCTATCTAAATCCTTTCCTAACTATCTTTCCACAATCCTACATGGGTAAGATACCACAAGTCTGGAAATTCCTGGTTTTGGTATTACTTGTATTTATATTTGTGTTTGGAATCAAATATAAAACTCAACTTCTTCTGTTGATCCTAATGTCCTGGTCTGCGTACTCCTTGCCACTTCTATAGGCTTATCCTCTTTTCTGGGCTTTTATCTGCATTCACTCAGATAACCACATTAAAGTTTCTCCCTCTCCCCAATAAGGCAGTTTTGAGAAGGTTTTAAAGAATGCTGGGTTGAGTGTAGGTCCTTGTTCTACTTCTGAAAACCTCAACTACATTGGAGCTTAATTTTCTGTTATGTAAAGTAAGGAATTATTGTATTAAACAATTTCTAAGATGATTCCCAGTCTTGAAATTATAAAAATTCCATAAATACCTAGCACTTAGACATATTTGATTTTTTAAAATAACTAGAATCATGTACTTACTGAACTATTTAACATATCCCTTATAAGAGTTGAAAAAAAAGATTATTTAAATTATGTAATTGGTTACCTATTTAATAAACATAATTACATATTTTTTTAAAATTTAGGTAAAAAACATTTTACTTAAATTTGCAATCAGAGTTTTATCTAAGGGGAAAGACAATCATAAATATTGTAAAACCATCAACTGAGAGCATAGTCAAATTTCAAAATTAATTTGTAGTTGCTATTCTAATGAAAGCACATGCACCCATTAACA